CTGTTCTTTGTAAGCATCACAGGACCAGGAGAAGCAAGTATTCACTAAAACATGTTTATATCCATCCACAAGGTTAGTGATTCTCTTCTCATTTTCTAACCCTATACTCACCAGATGCCTAGTAGCATGCTTTGCCCCAGAGAAGAGTTCCCACCGAGATTTGGTTTCTATAGGAACCCAGTGACCTTCCTGTTGTATTTGGTTTATGCTGTGATAGTGGACACTGCCATATCAGAGTAAACCCCTAGACCTTTAATCAACAAAACTGGCCTCTGTGCCCCCTGCCGACATCCAATGTATTTCACTCCTGTGCCCACCACACCCTCCTGACCGCAAGCCTGTCTCAGGAAAAGCTATGTTTGTGCACACACCTCAAATTTGCTTTGGAGAACATGCCAGCCTCTTGCATGAGTTGATCTAGCCATTCATGGAGAAAGAAGAAAGGACCATTAAAGATCACCAGACTATAGCCAAAGAGATCAGATAAACACCAGAGCCCATACACACACACACACACACACACACACACACACACACACACACACACAGTGGAGGTGGCTATCAGAGGATGTTTTGGAGCCTGGTGGCTCACATCCTGTGGAAGACGTTTGATGTGGGTGGAGCTGGACACAGTAGGATTCCAGTGGGGTGACCCTCAGCTCCTGTTGTTCCCTGTTCATATACAGGAAGTGTGACTATACTCTTGAATATGAGAATAGACATTTGCCTTTGGCTACTAGGGCATCTGAGCTCAGTGCCAGTTACCTCCTGAGAAATCCCACCTGTAATCATCTGGTTAATTCAAGGGGACCTGCCACCTGCCTTCAGGTTCCTTCAAATTGGCATACAAGCTCAAGTAGAGCTCTTGACTCCATGGGAAACTTCAGACTCTCCTAGGATGCATGAGTCAACAAACCCAGCTAGCTGGTTGCCAGGTAACCGTGAATAGTCTTCCCAAATTAGAGAACAAATGAGAAGGACCAGGAGGGATGAACAGAATGGCTAATTCTGGAGAAATCACAATTTTCTCAAGGAACCAGAGATGACTAAACAAAAACAATAAACCTGCGGAAGATGCTGTACCCTCTCCACGCCCACAGTCGCACCTGCCCACTCACCGGCCGCAGGAGGAGAAGGGCTGAATTGCCAGAGCCGACACCACATGAATCATAGACGTGTTACTCAGACACAACCACTGACAATCAACAGTCACAGACAACGGAGCGCAGAGGTGGGATTTCTTTCAGCAGGAGCACAAAGCTCCACTTTCAAAGCCTGTTTCCTGCCTCCTTGTCAGGAAGGAAGGAAGGATGTTCTTTTCAGAGTAACAATAGTTTTCTGAAAAATGCTTCTCGGGTGTCGATGTGTGTGTATATATAGGTGCGCGTATGTGAAGGGCAGAGGATATCTTCCCCTGTTGGTCCCTGGGTGTCATCCACTTTTGTTACTTTTTATTTGCAATATACTTCATGTATTTTGTGTATACATGTGACAGTACATGTGCGGAGTTTATAGATGACAATTTGGGAGAACCAGTTCTCTTCCTATTACGTGGGTCCTGGGGATCGCACTCAGATCGTCAGGTTTTTGCCTCAAAGCACCTTTATGCACTGGGCCATCAAAATGGCTTCCTCTTGTGTGTTGAGACAGGCTTTCATTGGCCGGAAGCTCACTACATAGGCTAGGCTGGCTGACTAGCAAACCCTAGGGACCTGACTTCCCTTCATTTGAATTACAAATACTTGCCACAATACTTGACTCTTTTTTTGCCCCCAATGTGGGTAACCAGGAGCAGCCTTCTTAAGTCAGCATATTATGAATGGAAACATTTATTCATTTATTTATTTTCATTTTTTTTTTTTACAAGAGAAAACACTTGGTCATGAACCATGCCATTCTCCAGCCCATCATAACTCCAAATTTCAGGAAAATTCACAAGAAGCAATCTTGACCTAATTCCTTGTACTCATTTTTGGCTTTGTCGGAATATAGCCCCAATATACCTTTCAAAGGGGTGAAGGGTAAAAAACTTCTGAGCTATTAGGACATTGTGATATGATTTAAAAACAAAACAAAACAAAACAAAAAACCATGTACTTTGGGGCCGGGCGGTGGTGGCGCACGCCTTTAATCCCAGTACTCGGGAGGCAGAGGCAGGCAGATCTCTGTGAGTTCAAGGCCAGCCTGGGCTACAGAGCGAGATCCAGGAGCTACACAGAGAAACCCTGTCTCGAAAAAACAAAAAAAAAAAAAAAAAAAAGTAGCAAAATAAAACAAACAAACAAACAAAAAAAACCATGTACTTTGATCTTGATCCCTGACTCTGAAGTGATAAGCAGTATCTTTGTTTACCCAGCTATGTTGGTTAATTTTTGTCAACCTGAAACAAGCTAGGGTCATCTGGGAAGAGGAAATCTCAACTGAGAAAATGCCTCCATTAGACTGTATGGAGGCATGTTAGCAGAGCATTTTTCTTGGTTAATGATTGGTGTGTGGAAGGCCCAGCTCACTTGGGGGGTATCACCCCTGGTCAGATGGCCCTGGGTCATATAAAAATGCAACATGAGGGAGCCGTGGGGAGCAAGCCATGGTTCCTCCATGGTTTTTGCTTCAGTTCCTGCCTTCAGGTTCCTGTTTTGATTCCTGCCTTGGCTTTCCCTGATGACAAACTGTAACCTACAAGCCAAATGAAGAATTTTCTGAACTGCTTTTGGTCACGGTCTTTATCGCAGCAATAAAAACCTAACTAAGACACCATCAGAAGCTCCTATCAACCACATCTGAGTTTAAGCTAGTGAAGTGAGTTTTGTAAAGCCCTACCTAACAGGGCACTTGTCAGGTAACCAAGCTACTATGGAGGATAACTTTGAGCTCCACTCTAAGAGGAGACGGGACAGGACAAGTGATTATTGACTTAATAACCTGGGTGGTAGTTTATTTGGTCATGCTATATCATAAAGCCTCCATAAACTCCAAAGGAAAGGTTTTGCCAAACACATGCTGATTCCAGAAGTGTGGTTCAGTCCCCAAGGATGTGGAAGCACCTTCCTATATACTGAGCCCTGCTCATATCCTCCATCAGGCCCTTTCCCAAATTGCATCCTTTTAAAACAAAACATGATCATCTACTAAGTAAATTGTTTCTCTGGGTTCTCTGAGCTGTTCTAGCAAAGCATTGAACCCCAGAGGGAATCATGGGAACCAATTTACAGCAGATCAAGAGGTACAAGTCAGAACCTGGACTTGGAAATAGCGCCCTGAAGGGAAAAGGCAATATGGTGGGACTGAACTCTGCAGCTGTAGGGGCCACATCCAACCACAGGAAGATTCTGTCAGAGTTGAGTTGACCCATAGAACATCTAGTTGGTTGTCTGTAGATGATTGCTGCAGACAAAGCAAAAACAGACAAACAAAAATGAATCCAGATTGTGAATTAGTTGAATAAAAACGATAATCTGTCCATTCAGCTGTACATGCCCCCAAATTTGCTTTGTCTTTATGTTAAAGTATTGGTATGCATTGTTTTATGACTCTAGATTGTCTTAGGTGACCACTTTGACACCTGGCAGCTGACCTCTATGACAGTGGACATCATTAACATATTTTCAAGGAGGCCAGGTCAGGGTCAATCTCCCTCAATGCCCCTCCCTTAGAGGAAGCAGGCCTCATTCCTGCTACTAACCCTTCCCTTCTCAGCTACCATTCCCCTTCCTTTTATGGCCAACCAGCCTGCACTCCTATCTGTGGCAGTTTCTCCATTGTGTCGAACTCCATCCCCTCTTAGTTATTGAAGGTCAAGGTTGTGTGTACTGCCCCCTTTCTCTCCAGGGTCATTGTCTCCAGCACACCAGCAGGCAGGAGGTTCTCCCAGTTAAAAGAATCTCTTTCTTGATTCTGCCACCATCACCTCCACTCCCACCACCACCCCACACACACACTATTAACCCACTTCCTGTTTCTCCCAGTAGAAAAACTCCATAGTAACTTCCCACTCTGGTTGTCTATTCCCATTTTCTATTGAGCTTGCGAAAACTAGACTTGAAACCCATCCTTCCACTAAAATGCCATCCTCGTCCATATTAGTTAAGCTTCCCATGGCTTTGGTGAAGTACCCATCAAAGGCAAGTCAAGGGAGGTTGGGTTTGTTCTGGCTCACAGTCCATCATGGTAAGGAAGGAGTTTGTAATAGCTGGTCCACGGCATCCACAGCAGGAAGTAGAGAGAGATGAACGCCGGTTCTCAGCTTTTCTCCTTTTTATTCAGTAAAGGATCCTAGCCATGGGATAATGTCACTGCATTCAGGGTCAGATTTCTCTCCTCAGTCAAATGTTTCTGGAATCGGTACATAGATCCATGCAGAGATGTGTTTCCCGTGTTGGTTCTAGAATCAGTCAAGCTGTCAAAGAAGATGAACCATTACACTTTCCAGGTTCACAATAATCCCATGTCGCTAAAACCAGTGGTGAAATGTCAGTCCTCATTTTTCTTGTGTTTTTTTTTTCCTCTTCAGTAAGTAAAGTACAATTATAATGCTATTTGTCATTCTCTCCCCCTTGAACTACACCGTTCATCACATTCCCAGGATATTACACTGTTGAGGTTCTTCGGCTACTAAAAGAGGAAATCTCCCAGAATATACATGAAGGAGGAACATAGTAAAATTACTACATTTATTACGTGTATGGAGCACATGTAGGGTCAGAGGATAGCTTGTAGAAGTAGCAGAATAAGCCAGGCGGTGGTGGCGCACGCCTTTAATCCCAGTACTCGGGAGGCAGAGGCAGGCAGATCTCTGTGAGTTCAAGGCCAGCCTGGGCTACAGAGCGAGATCCAGGAAAGGCACCAAAACAACACAGAGAAACCCTGTCTCGAAAAAACCAAAAAAAAAAAAAAAGTAGCAAAATAAAACTTCATTTTAAATATATGTAATGTATATATATATATTTCATTATGCACTTATCCATTGATGGGAACATAGGCTGATTCCATAAGTTGCTGTTTCAAATAGTGCATTGAGAACCTCAAGGGTACAGAAATTTCTATGGTTTGCTAACTAGATTCCCTCAGGTATGTAAACAGGAATGAAATAATTACATATCATGATAGTTGAGTTTTTAGTTGAGAAACCTCTATAGGGACTTTTATGGTGGCTGAATGAATTTACATTCTGACCTACAGTGTGTAAGGGCCTCCCCATCTGCTCATCATCTCTTGCTTTTATTTTTTTTATTTAACAATTGCCTTTTTTGAAATGGAATTGCAATGAAGTGTTTTTTTTTTAAGGTTTATTTGTGTGTGTATGTGTATGGATATTTTGTCTGTATTTATATTTATGTACCCCCTGCATACAGTACCCCCGGAGGTGAAGAGGTGGCTGATTCCCTGGGACTAGAGTTACAGATGGTTGTGAGTCACCACGTAGGTGCTGGGAATCAAACCCTGGGTCCTCTGGGAAAGCAACCCATGTTCTTAACCACTCTGCCATCTCCACTCCCTGCAGCGAAGTTTTAAACTGCATCATCTTGATGACTAAAGACACCGAACATTTTTCTTGTATTCATTGGCCAAATTTGCACTTCCTTTGAGCCGTGCCTGTCTAGTTAATTTGCCCATTTATTGTTGGGATTATTTCTTTTCTTTCTGTGTGTGCACTTAAGAAGAATTGTTTGTATATTCTGCATATCAATCTCCTGTCAGATGAATAGCTAGCAAAGATAGTCTCCTATCCTGCAGGCTGCCCCTTCATGCTGGATCAAAGTTCCAGTCACTTTGTGCCCTCTTGCTATTGTTTCTCAGATAAGGGAACATGTTCTGAGAGCTGTTCCCTATGTTTCTACCTTGAAGCTTTCTACCTTCTCTCTCTTTCCCCTAGTATTAATCACATGCTAATTTTTCCTTTCAGGCTGTTAGGTGGGACCAAGTTTCAGTCTTCTTTATAGATATCAGTTTTCCCAACACCATTGTTAAAGAGGCCGTTCTTTCCACAGCTCATGTTCGTATCGTCGTTGTCAAGAATCAGATAGCCCAAAGCTGCACAGACCTGTCTCTGGCTTCTCTGTTTCTATATTGATCTATTATTGTATATTAACTATGGCTGTACTTCAGCTGGCTGTTCGAAGTTTGTCTTGACTCCACTGCAATGATGGGCAGGTACCTGTAATGTAAAACTGAAATAATTTCCATTCCTCCCCCCAAGTTGCTTTTTCTCAGTGTATTTTATCACATCAAGAGAAATGAAAGTAGGCAGACGGTAACTCCTGCTCTGGGGTTCCCAGCATGGCGAATTAACCGCTCCCATCTGGAGAGGGATCTGATCTTAGGCGAGCCATCCTGTGTCCTTGTTGCTTGGGAATGGTCAGTCCTCACAGGCTTTTTACCAATCAGCCCTTCTCATTCCTGGAATGCAAGGTAATGACAGAAGATAGCGGCTTAGTGCTGGGTAGGGGTTAAAGAAGCAAAATTAAAATGAGAGAGCACAGAATGGATGAGCTGGGCTGAGCAGTTAGTGCACCTCTTTCAGGAGTGGAACGTGAAGATGGAGCATGTGGAAAACCCAAGGGAGGATTAACAATAACACAGTGAATTGGGAGGAGAGTGAGGAGAGGTGGTGTCTGTGTAGGCAGGCACCTATGGGGACTGAAATCCAGTCTGCAAACCAGGCGGGCGGTGGTGGGCGCACACCTTTAATCCCAGCACTCAGAAGGCAGAGCCAGGCGGATCCCTGTGAGTTCGAGGCCAGCCTGGTCTACAGAGTGACATCCAGGACAGGCACCAAAACTACACAGAGAAACCCTGTCTCGAAAAACAAAAAACAAAAAAGAGAGAGAAAGAAAGAGAGAGGGAGGAAGGGAAGGAGGGAAGGAGGGAGGGAGGGAGGGAGGGAGAGAAAAGAAAGAAAGAAAGAAAGAAAGAAAGAAAGAAAGAAAGAAAGAAAGAAAGAAAGAAAGAAAGAAAGAA